AAAATTGTCATAAAATAGCACAACCTTCTTCACAACGAATTTATCAATGGAAATAAATGGTTGAGTTTTTATCTAAAGGAAGAAGAAGATTTTCTCAAATGTTTAGAAGATATAAACAGAAAAAAAGAAACTTTCAGTTTATAACAACTCGAAAATACAAGTACCAATCTAACATAGAATATAGAGATATTAGACAAGAAGGTTTTTTGATCAAGAAAAGAGAAAGAGGAAGAGAATATATGATATGTTAACCTAATAAATATAGTACACAAAACTTCACAACACCTTATAAAAGAATATCTCAAGAGGTATAATGAGATGTGAAATATACATATCTATAATATCAAAACAAAAACAAGGGTCAAGGCTTATATAAAGTGGCATAGCTATCTTAAGACAAACCTAGAAATATTATGGATAATCCCCTTAGAAATAGAAACTACTAGAGCCATCTTCTTCAAGAAAGAACTGACATACAAAGAGATCAATAATATTCTAATAAAAAAAAACAAAAACTCAACAAAACTACTAGGTACAAACAAGTTCTACTCAAGTTTAGTAGCCAGGGCACTCAATGATACAGAAGCAAAAGCATGTTACACTTCAAGAAATCCCTTTACACTGAAGAAACAAAACTTCACAGTTATATACTTTGTATTAAAAGAGGCCCACAACAAAGCCTGTAAACAACATATTTTCTTACAAGGGCTATGTCTCTCATGAAGTGTTAAAAATACAGTAATAGAAAATGAAAAGACCTATGATATTGAAAGAAAAAGAGTCAAAGCACAAGATAGAAAAGTTGAAATAGACAATAAGGCACCTAAAGACTCATTATCTGACAACAAATTAATCAGTTCCTTCTTCTCTTATAGTAAGAATTATTGATCTTTAAGAAGGCAATACTCAAGAAACCCATCTTCAAGAGATCAAAGAAGATCCTATAGAACTCAAACTGGTAGAAGAAGATAAAGAAATAAGGAAAGACTTAAGAACCCAGCCACAGGAAGCAATAGAGAACCTATTGACAATTCAAGGCCTAGCCAATACAATAGTTTTGATAAGTATGTGTCAAATACAGAAATAAAAAATAAAGAAGTTCCATTATACCATATCTTAAACAACTTAGAAAAATTAAGTGGCAGAATAGTCAAACTAGAGGGCAGAACAGCTCCTATTAGACAAATAAGATACAGTAGAAGAGGAGAAAATTACTCCTAAAAAGGTGCACTAGTTGTGCAAGATAATAAGAGGGAAAATAAGCCCAGTTTATCCTCAATAGAAATTTTAAAGAAGGGCAAACATCAACAAAAAGAGCATAACAATGTAGAATTAGATAATTTGGACTTAGAAAAATTCTTACAAAGTAAAAAAACTAATTTTCGACAAAAAAGAAAAAGAAAAAAAAAAGCAAAGTAATTCACAGGTCAATAAAAGAACTTATAAAAATCCAAATACTATAAGAACATTAAAAAATAATAAATTAAGTTATCATAATTATAATATGGATTTTTTTTTAATACTAGCTCATTTTTATATCAGGATGAATATATTTTATTAAAGGAAGAAGATATCTAGGGACAATTAGAATGAATAATTATCTATACTGTTTAAGAATTTACAGATTAATAAATAGTACAAAAAGCAAATCATTTTGTTTTATCCAATCAGGATAAGATAATTACATGACTGTCTAATATAGGTATTCTACTTATTAAAACAAAACAAGGAATAATATTGAGTAAAAAGAATTTTTTACTATATTATCTATATAACCATACCTAGCACTTCCTAGAAACATGACAAAATATGATCCATCAAGAAATTTATTGCTATCTCAGATTCTATAAATAGAGGGACTAATGTATTAATAATTTATTTATAGTATCCATTACCTCTAATATTGATAATTCTTCATGTGAAACCTTAATTCCACTAGTATCAACTAAAAATTTTTTATATTATTATACTATCAAAAGAGTATTTTAGAGAGACTAAAGTAATTGCTTAATGAATCGAGAGATTGTGCTTTCAATATATTAGTATCAGGTAATCAAAAACTCTCCTAAAGAACTCTGCATCTTATAATCTTTTTTCTTTAATTGTGTGTACTAGAAAAGAGAAGAAGAAGTAGAGAAGAATTATTGTTTATTATCCAATAAGTTCTAATTCAAGTTTCTTTATTCTTTTAATGTAGTCAATAATATCATAGATTTTATGTCTTATATTTATTTGTATAACTGACTTGTAACTTATAATGAATTTCAGGTTTTTATATATATTGAGGAAATATATTTAGATAAATGAGGTGACCAATAAGGACTTGTTTATATATTGGGTTGCTGACGTATTTTTATTATCCAATTACTACGCCAGAAATTTTGTGTTACTCAAAATTCGAAATCAAACTGAGATAGGTAAAATCCTTCAGAAAAAACTATAAAAGAGTATTCTTAGAATCTCTATCATGATAAGAGAGTAATGGTGTTGTCTTTTAAAGAGTCTCTTATCACAAACTAGGCTTTGTAATATTTCTATAGCAGGTGAAAAGGAGATAGAGAAGTCAAATCTACTTTCTTTTAGAATTTTTTTGCTATTAATAAGAAAAATAAAGTTGTCTTTCTAGTTATTAGAAGACAAGTTTTTTGTAATAAGATATAAAAAGAGGTAGTAGAGATTATAAGGTGGCTCTTGAGAATTTTATTCTCAAGTTGGTTTAAAGAAAGTGATAAGACTTTATTAGTCTTGAAGTATAAAACTTCTTGTGAACATTTTTTTTATATATGATCAGAGAATTAGTAGAAAGAGTGTTTCATTTATTTTGATTATAATTATAATATAATACTTAAGTTTATAAAATACTATATAAAAATAATAAAAATTACTAGATAATGTGAATTGTAGACTTCCATTTCTTACTTAAGTCTTTTAAGGGATGACAAAGCTTTAATAAAAAAAACTAAGGTTCAAATGCTTTTTTTGAAATATCCCAATCTAATATTTATTTAAATAAAAAACCAGTTGATTTAACTTATTCAATAGTATAGGTAATAGCAAAAAATATTCCTTTTGAGATTCAAGTAAAGTATAAAGACAATTTTAATTAGATAAATTCCTTTTAAGAAAAGATTGTTTTTATTTTTTAACTTTTTTGATAGGCTTTGAATTGTTCTCTTCACCTTTTTATTTTTCTTCTTTTCCCTTTTAACTTAGCAATTCATTGGTTTTTGAGTCAATAAATAGTAATAAACTATTGATAATGATCCTGATATATAGAGATTATAATCAATATATTAGAGAAGTATAATATTGTTCTCAAAATCTGACTTAAAGTACTTATATATAAAAACAAGTTAATCATATTGTGAAATCTGTAAAATATAATAGATTTTGTTTTAATTTTTCAATAAAGACAAACTATTATAATATAATTATAGGTTTAAAAAATAATAATTAAATAACTATTTTAATCATAATCTTTATTTTTATTTATTTATTTTTAACTTGTAGTCAGGTTAGCATGGCTTGTCTTTATTGTATATATGCTAGATATTTACCAATTGTTGCAACTTTCACTTATCATCAAAAAAATTATTTCTCTAAATACAACCTAATAAATGATATTTTGCTTCTTTATTTATTTGAATAATCCTTTAATTAATAAAATCATTGTCTACAGATCATTATTGTGGATCATTTTAAGTTCTATATACAGTTAAAAATCAAACCATTTGATTTTATGGCAAACCCAATTCTTAATAATTACTATATACTTCTTTTCTTCTTTTTCTTTAATGCCTTCTAGATTTGGATTCTCCAGAGATAATAATGTTACTTCTTGGTTCTGTCCAATTTGTATGTTGAGTTTATTTATGCTTATGTCTTTTATTTCTTTTATCTTTTTCTGTAATTTTCTGCTTTTTTTCCTATTCTATATCTTTGATACAATGATTATTCCAGATCTCCTTTTTGATGTTTACTCACATCTTATAATAGAACTTGCTGATTATACTCTGTATAGTTACAAGTAAAATCTTGAATTGTTCTTTGAGATATTTCTTTAAGGAAATGATCTTATCATCTTCTATATATTCACAGATAGTATTGAAAAGGCTCCTGTTAGATTTCTAAATCTCTTTTAACCATTTATCTATTCAGTTATTTATTACAGATCAGACTTCTTCTTTATATTTAACTTTTTTGTTGATATGCAGTATTTGTGAATTTTTTTGTTTGCTTTTTGCCATATGTCTTCCCTAGTTTCTCTAGTGACTTTCCTCGTTTTAGTATCGATAAACAACATCTCTTCACATATAATTAATAAAGTATTTGTTATTATGAAGTAATGGCATTTACATACCTAAACTGTGTGAATGTATATATGCGAGTGTGTATTAAAATAAATTATAATCACGCTATTATTAAAATTACTATGATTTACATAGGCAGTGTTTCATGTACAATATATCAGTGATCCTTGGAGGACTATATTCCGCCTGGTACAATACATTAAGGGTTACACGCTAATTCACTTTCGAAAAGGTCTTTGATTTTATTTATTTATTTTTGAATGAAAATAACACATTGACTGTTCATAACCTTTGATTCATAAGTTCTTACCCATTCCAAGATGGTTTTTTTAATTCTATTTACTTATTGATTTTGTTTTGAATAAAAATAAATGGTTCCAACATAACAGCTGTCCATAACATTTACTGCTTCATAAGTCTTAACTGCAAGCTGAAGATGGCGAATAGGCTCAAACCATCTGGCTCTGGGAATGAGATCCTGCCATGAATCCTCAGCATCTGATCTATCGTATGAATTATCATCATCATCTGATCTACCATATGTAGTGAGGATTTCTCTTACATTCGATAACTGATATCCGTAAACAAAATCATCTTTATCTACCGCTGAATATTGTCCACACCTTGATGCAACCACCACCTCTCTCCATAAATTCTCATCCGAAATTAAATCCCGATATACCATGCTTTTTACTTTTTCCATATCAGCCCAATATACAACAATTCCGTTAAATCCTTCACGCCCCTTAACGAAGTCGATTGCATTATCAAATGATGGTTCAGATGAAAGCTAGAAGAGGCCCCAAAGTCGAGGTTGGCCCTGCAATAATTAAGCTTAATTCCATTCTTACTGATAGATCGAGCACTATGGTAGTTTGTTGCATGGAAGAATGCTTTGTAATTAGTGTCCGCTGGGGTAGAGACTTTTTTGTTGCACCTCAATAAAGAATTCTCTCCGATATCAATGTTTTCTTCGTAGGATGAGGCAAAAATTTGTGGACCACCTTTTCTTTCATAACTGTGCCATTGATTGCGTTGAAATTGTGGATTATAAAAAACTTTATCAAACCCCATCTGCGTAATTGCATCCCATAGATTGTAAACCCAATCAAGTAGCCAATGTTTCAAAATCCGTTGAGACCAAATGGTCTCATGTACACTATCACGTATTCTGTTCGCAACCTCCTCTGTAAGACCCCATTTCACAAGCAATTTCTTATCTTCGCCCAGCTCCACACCTTCATTTCCCTCAATGCCAATAAAGATTTTTGGATCCATTTGTTCGCGTTCTTCAAGAAAATCCAACATAATTTCATCATTAGACTTAAATTCCAGACGAGTATTTCTTGCCAGAAAGGAGCTGACAAGACTTGATTGAAAACCACGATCAACGAAGTACGTAGTGATCTCACTAAGGAGAATGTCATCATTACTCGTCAAGTTACCAGGTGATATATCCTCAGGTATGGCTGGCGGTGGAGTATTACTTCCATGCAAAGACATGGCTGAATCTTTTAAAGTTATTCAGTATTAGTATTATGCGTAGAACCTATAAATTTTTATAAAACTTAATACTTACCGTAAGACGCTCTTCAAAGTATCCCCCCCGTAAAAAGATCTTTCAGTTTTTTCGGATATCCTAAATGTGTAAATCTTTTATTTATAGATATATGCATCGAAATATTTATATTAGTATTTGCCTTCTGATTGGCTACAGATCTTATATTTTCAAATAATAATCTATCGCGAAACCACTCACCTTACAATTTGCAAACTCATCTACTTAATATTTTATGAACCCATTCACCTTACAATTCACGAATCCCTATATTTCGCAAACCTACTACTCAATACTCTATAAATTCATCCCTATACTCTACAAATCCGCCCACCTTACAATCCATAAATCTGCACTCACAAATTTACCCTCCTTCACACCTGTATTTTGCAAACTCATGTCTTACTACCCTACATTCCGCGAACCACACCCTATTCTTCACAAATCTATTTAAAAAAATTCAAATCAAATTTGACTTGTACTAAAAAAATAGCATAAACCGGATTTGGTTTGTGCTAAAAAAAACTCGATTTTGAACAAATTCAAAAGTAGATTAACTATATTAATGCACATTGTATATTTGTTAAGTAAACTGAAAGATAAGTAAATTAATTATATCACTTTATATGGAATAGGTTTTTATTTACTGTAAATATATCAGTAAATGGGTAGAGACTGGTGAGTAAGTGAATGGATGAGTGAATAAATGAGTAGGTGAGTAAATAGGTAAGTGAGCAAGTAGATAAATAGTAGGTAAGCGAATGGGTGAGTGGATGGGTGGATAGATAAATGGGCAAGTGAATAGGTGGATAAGCAGATGGACGAGAGGATAGGTGGATAAGCAGATGAATGAGGGGATGGATGGATAAGCAAATGGATGAGTGGATGGGTGGATAAGCGAATGGGTAAATAGATAGAATGGATAGGTAAATAAACAGGACAATTGTTGCATAATTAAGAAATCAACAATATTATATCTCCTAAATTTAATGTTTGTTATTTTTGAAATAATAATTGAATAAATTCTTTAATCTTTTATTTATATTATTTTATTGTTATGTAAGGTAATTGTCACTAATAATAAATCAATAATTAAAAAATTTTTTATTATTATTTAAAGAGATACATAAGTAGTTAAAAAATAAATTTATTCATTAGAAATGGCTATTACTCATAATAGCAGTGCTTTAAAAGAACATACAACAAAAAAATTACAAAGGCATTGGTATGTTCAAGAAAAACTCAAAAATTATTACCTATTGTGAAAAAAATGAGATAAGTCTTGGTGAAGTAAGCAACAAATTTAATATTCAACCAAAAAAACTATGTGAATTGATTAAAAAAAAGGATAAATTAATCAAGAATTCCTCAAAGCTTCTTAAGTTATATAACGAAAAATCACCCAAATATCCACAACTTGAGAAAACTTTATTTGATTGAATTATTAAACAATGACAACAGCAAAATGCTATTACATAACTATTATTAATCACCAAAGTATTTTCACTTGTCAAATGTATTGAGTTTCAAAACCTTTCAAATATTTGTGAATTTAAATTTTCAAATAAATAGCTTGATGGTTTTTTGAATCAATATAATTTATTTAATTGCCAATGTACAACTATTGCACAACAATTACCTGAGAATTTAGAAAAAAAATAACAAAATTTTTATAAATTTATTTTAGATCAACGTATTCAACATAATTATTTTTTACACTTAATTGAAAATATAAATGAAACACCACTTACTTTTGATTTGTCAAATACAACAACAATTGAAAAATATAAAACTCACATAATTAGCATTCAAACTATGGGCAATAAAAAAAATTTTTTTTATAGTTATTCTTGGATGTATGGCTAATAGAACTAAATTACCACCAATTGTATTTTCAAATTAAAAAATATAACTCGTGAAAATTTTCTTGATAGTGTATTTATTCAGACAAATAAAAAATGATGGGTTAATGAAAAAGAAATACTTTAGTGGATAGAAAATATTTGGATAAAAAGACAATCTTTAAATAATTTACATTTTTTTTTAATTCTTGATTCATTTCATGCTCATTTGGTTGATTCAGTTAAAGAACAATTTATTAAAGAAAATACAAACTTAGCCATAATTCCTGGTAGATTAATATCTAAATTACAACCATTAGATATTTCTATTAATAAAACTTTAAAACACAAGTAAGAATTTTTATTATTTTTATTATTTAAAAAATTTTTTTATATATCATATACTAAATTTTTATTTATAGATTCATATATTATATAATCAATAGATATTAGAAGAAATTTATGAACTTACATCTAGAAAGTATATTAAGAAACCATTATGTTCATTACTTGCTAAATGAGTAAAAATTGCATGGAAATCTATTGATCTGAATTTAATTAAACATTCTTTAAATATATTACAAAATAATTTTTTTTTTAACCCATAGTCAGGCCAATATGGCTTGCCCATTTTATTGTAAATATATTTGATATTTATATATTTTATGACTTTCATAAATTGACTTCCCTTCTACAAAGTTTAATCTTTTCTAAATGCAACTTAAGGGATAATATTTCACTCCCTTTATAGCTTGGATTATCCTTTAGCCACTCAGATTATTGTCTACAGCTTATCACTGTAGATCTCCCAAAGTTCTAACTGTGATTAAAAGTCAAACCATTTAAAACCTTTGGATATTCAAATATTTATTATATCTACTATATTACCTTGAAACTTTATTTATTCTGAGTCTTCTTTTTCTTCTGTCATATTTCTGGAGGGACAAATAGAGGAGTAATTGGCTTCCTTAAGGACTCGAT